CACGACCCCACACTCGTCATCAAGCGTGTGTCTCACCTCAATATAGCACTACGATGTGCAAATTCGGGGTTCCAAACCCTTAGAGCATCATTTACAATCATTACTCACCTCGAACCGACTAAATCTCTAGCTCGCGATGCCTTTGCCCCTCGAATCATCCTCCACGGGCGTCGAATCTATCCAAAATCAGAACGAATACATCACAATATGCCAAGGGAACAAAGCCCAAGCGAAAATAATCGAAAAATACCAAAAATCCTGAAATTAGCCAAACCCGAGCCCTGGGCCCACTTCTCGAAACTCAGAAATTTTTACATGAATAGATTCCCCATCTCCCCACGAGTCTATGCATATCAAGAACACTAAAATCGGAGTCCAAATGACCCCTCAAATCCTCCTTTAAAGGCCTCTTAAACTCAAGCTCTAATCCTCCATTTTAACCCTTTAATTCATTTAATTACAACCTTAATCCATGAAATACTACCATAGAAATGTGTTTTAGGTCCAAAATCCTTACCTTAACGAAGTTCCCTTGAAATCCCTCTTCCAAATCGTCCAAAAGCTCTCAAGCCGAAGTAAAAAATGGTGGAATAACTCAAACTCGCGAAAATAAAATAACTTATATGTTCTGCCCAGGCATACCCGCATCTGCGGTCCAAAATCCGCTTCTGCGGTACCGCATTTGCGGTTAACACTCTGCTTCTGCNGTGCGAAAACACCAGAAGCAGCAAATTTCTGCAATCTCTCAAATCTTCCTGTTAACCATTCAAAATCACCGTGAGGCCCTCGGGACCTCAACCAAAAGCACAAATATGACCAATACCTTATTAAAACTTGTTCCACTCATCAAAACACCTCAAACGACATCAAATCAACCAAAACACCTCGGATTCAAGCCTAAGTTTCTAAAATCTTTCCAAAATTGCTTTCGATTAAAAAGTCAACCAAACCACGTCCGAATGACCTGAAATTTTACACACACATCCCAAATGTCATAACGAAGCTACTGCAACTCTCGGAATTCCATTCCAACACCTGTATCAAAATCTCGCATATCAACCGGAAATCATCAAAATGAACACTTCGCCAATTCAAGCTTAATTCTATTCTGAACCTCCAGAACCCATTTCGATTACGCTCCTAAGTCACAAATCACCTCCCAAAGCTAACCAAACCACCGGAACTCACATCCGAGCCCTCTAACACATAAGTCAACATCCGACTGACTTTTCCAACTTAAACCTTCTTAAAAGAGACTAACTATCTCATTTCTTACCAAATCCTCTCCGAACTCAAACTAATCAACTCGATCATATAAAACACGGATAACGAAGAATAAGGAAGCAGAAATGGGGAAAAACGGAGTGGTAACTCATGAGACGACTGGCCGGTCGTCACAATACTAGAGACTGGACAACGGTGTTCCAAACTCCAGCATATTATACTGGACAATTATACTTGCTGGAACTCCAATATATTATGTTGGAGTTTTAGTGTACTTATGCTGGAACTTCATCATATTATGCTGGAGTTCCAGCATAATTATCCTGGAACTCCAGTATAATATACTGGAGTTCAAGTATAGTTATGATGGAACTCCAGTATAATATACTGGCATATTTTTCGGGTTTTGAACAGTGTTTTCGCTCAGATTTATCTTTACATGAAAAGTGGCTAAATTTCGATTACTTTTGAAACTGGGCTATTCTTGAATAACTAGTTGTAAATCTGGCTATTTTTGAATTTCTCCCAAGAATGAACTGCCACTATATCTTTAGTAAAATAATTTAGTAAAACAAGAAACCCTCGCCTAGGGCGATGTGCACAAATAGCCACTAACAACACCTGTCTTTATTTTAAAACCAGTGTTTTAAATGTCTTTAGTCTTTAGCCACTGGTTTAATAAATTTGTACCTGATTGGATGAAAATACCCTTCTGCTATAACTTATACCTACACGATCAGCATTAGCAGCAACAGTGCTAAACTATAGAAGATTTCTATGCGATCGTCACAATTGCAGAAGATTCTCTTCCGATTTCAAACTATAGAATTCAACATTCTCATCTAAAAATCGACATAGATTTACAGTAATTTATACTTTTATGTGTTTCTATTGATTTTTATTTCGACATAGTTATACTTTTTCCGATTTCTATTGATTTTTATACAGTAAGCAGAAACTTGATTTTTTTTTTGAATTTCTGGATTGATAAAGTTAAGGACATCGCATCCTATGATAATTCTACAAAAAATGAGCACATAATATTAAGGACATAGTGTCCTGATTTTGCAAATTGAATTGAAAAAGTTAAGGACACAATGTCCTTAACTTTGTTGTTGTTCTTCTATATATTAAGGACATACTGTCATAGTTTTGCAAATTACTTTAAAAAAGTTAAGGATACTAGGTCCTGAAGTTTGAGTTTCAAGTTGAAAAGTTCTGAACACTTGGTCCTGAACTTTCAATATTTAAGGAAAGTTGGTCCTTAACTTACAGTTATAAGTTAAAAAGTTAAGGACAGGTAGTCCTTAACTTTGGGTTTCAATTTAAAAAGTTAAGGATAGGAGTCCTTAATTTTGACTTACAGGTTCAAAAGTTAAGGACAGACAATCCTTAAGTTTGAATTACAGGTTCAAAAGTTAAGGACATGCAGTCCTTAACTTTGAATTCCAAGTTCAAATGTTAAGGACACTTGGTCCTTAACTTGGTCTTGAACTTACAGTACCTGTTCTTAATTATACAAGGATTACATTATAAAATATGTCCTGAGTTTCCTATTCTCTTGACTTGCACGATGGAAACAATATGTATTATAGTTGCTTTTAATGGTAGATGGACTGAAGACTATAAATATCTTGATCATCAAACAAAGCTTGTTCTAGTACCTGAGGCAATTCGGTTTGAAGATTTCATTAAACAGATCTTTGAAGTTATTAAATTGGATAGACACAAGTTTGAAGCAGTGATATGGTTTGATATCAACCTTGGAACAAGCAATGGAATGCTTGTATCCAAAGATTTATCTTCACATATGTATAGAGTTACTAAAAACTCATTCACTCTTCAAGGGCTGTCGTTTCATTGTTGATATTTCGGAAAGAGTTTTTGGATCAACAAGCAACGAACATATCAACACAGAAACTCAACATGACAATCAAAACAAATGCCAACAATTAATGAAAATAGATATGGTTGAAGTTCAAGCAATAACTGAAGAGGTGCTTCAAACACATGTCAACAGAGAAACTCAACATGATAATCAAAACAAATGCCAACAGATAATGGAAATAGATATGGTTGAAGCTCAACCAATAACTGAAGAGGTGCTTCAAACATTTGATTCTATTCAAGTAGAAGGACAAAGCATTGTAGAGATTGACAACGAACAAGCTTTAGATATTCAAGTCTTGGAGAGTGCACCGGTAATCGAAGAAGTTGCTGAAAAACCCTCTACTAAACTAACTAGACGAAGATCAAATTTGAAACAAAAAGAATCCCCAACTACGATATTAAGAGAAAATGCTTCGTTGGATGAAATAAAAGTGGGATCAGTACTTGACAAAAAAAGAGTATAATTAACTATTTTTTGAACATAGCAATTAAAGGACATTTTGAATTCAAGGTTGTTAGATCAAGCTCAACAAGATATTTGTTGAAATACAATGATAATAGGTGTGTTTGGTGTGTGCGTGCTTTCAGAATTAAAGATTCAAGATAGTAAAGATTGAGAAAAAGCATGACTGCTCTGTTAACACTATGAAAGTTGATCAAAGGCATGCAACTTCAAAGTTGATTAGTGGTTACATTATTGACAATCTTCGAGACCCAAGGTTTGAAGTTACACTAGCTTTTGTCATGGTAGAGATGCAAAAAATGCATGGACTAGACATTGGATATCACAAGGCGTGGCGTGCTATTCAACTTGCTTCCGCTTTAATAAGAGGAACTCCCGAAGATAATTATGAATTATTGTCTTTATACTTGTATATGATGAGAAGTAAAAACCCGAGAACATATACTAACATAAAGATAGACGACAACAACAGGTAAACAATAAAAAAAAAGTTTATTAGTCTGTTTTATAAAATTTAGGACATGTTGTCTTTAACTAGTTAACTTTTGAGCTTGTAACCAGAAGTTCAGGACTGGCTGTCCTTAACTTTTGAACTTGTAAGTCAAAGTTAAGGACTGCCTGTCCTTAAGTTTTGAAATTTGAACTCAAAGTTAAGGACTGCATGTCCTTAACTTTATAACTTGAAACTATAAGTTAAGGACTGACTGTCCTTAACTTTTAACTTTATAATCTGAAGCTCAGGACTACATGTCCTTAACTTTTGTTAACCTTGTTTTATATTGTATTTTTAGGTTTCTTTATATGTTTTTTGCATATGGATCATCAATATCTGGTTGGAATCATTGTATACCAGTCATTGCTGTTGATGCAACTTTTTTGAAGTCAAAATATCGTGGTGTTTTAATGATTTCAGTTTCAAAGGATGCAAATAACCAAATTTCTCCACTAGCCTTTGGAATAGCAGAATCTGAAAATAACAATTCCTATGAGTGGCACTTTAGTTAGCTTCGCAATGCAATTGGGAGCCGTGAGAATTTAATTTTTTTATCGGACAGGCATCAAGCTATTGCATATGGCATTGCAAAGGTATATCCTTAAAGCCATCATGGGATTTGCATCTATCATTTGGAGCAGAACCTAAAGCGAAAGAAGGTGAAAAATGAGCTTATAAAACTTTTCCAAAGTGCTGCAAGAGTATACAGGCGCAAAGAATTTGACCTATATATGTCAGATATAGCAAAAGTAGATAAGAAGACTTATGACTACTTGATGGAAGAACCACCGGAAAGGTGGGCACATTCTTGTAGTCCACGACGAAGATATGACATGCTCACAAAAAACATAGTTGAGTCAATGAATTCTGCCCTATTAGAAGCAAGGGAGCTGCCTATATTAAGAATGATGGATTCATTCAAGTGAAGCTACAACGTTGGTTTTATGAAAAAAGAAATGAAGCAGAAAGAACTTTTTATGATGTTTCTTGTTGGGTAGAGGAGGAATTAAAGAAAAAATAGATTTAACATTTACTTTGAATGTAAGTATTATGTATTATGTTTAGCTTATGATTTTAATATAATTTAACATAATGTACTAACTTATAATTTTTCAACATTGAAGGTCTTCCCTATTGACTCATGGCGTTCTAGAGTTGAAGAAGAAGGAATAACTTTCTTGGGAGACTTAAACAAAAGAACATGTGATTGTTTTCAGTTTCAATTTGATGAATTACCATGCATACATGCAATTGCAGCTATCGAGAAGAGAAACATCAAGAAGTCTAACTTTTGTTCGCACTAGTACTTAAAGGAATCTTGGCTGAAAACATATGAAAGACAAATACATCCTGTAGGACATACTGATTCTTGGATTGTACTAGAGAGTGTTAAGTCACAAATTGTTAAACCTCCAGATTTCAAAGTGCCACCAGGTAGAAGGCAGAAGAAAAGGCACATTCCAGCTACCGAGTCATCAAAAATAACATTCAAATGTGGTCGTTGCAGAAGAATTGGTCATAATAGAACAACTTGTATATATTCTCCCGCAGTCCATCCATTTTCAAGAAAGCATAGAGAATAGTATATATATCCACTTTTGTTTATCGACTCTTTTAAGTTTTTGCTATAAATTGGATTCATTTAGATTATTCTTATTTGAGCAAATGTCTGAATTTTCAAAATTTCTTTCTGCTTACCTTCTTTTTGTTTCTTTTGAGTTCAAAGATTAAAAGTTAAGGACAAGAGTCCTTAAGTTTAACTTGCAGGTTCAAAAGTTAAGGACAATCAGTCCTTAACTTTGAGTTACAGGTTCAAAAGTTACAGACAGACAATCCTTAACTTATTTCAAAGTTCAAACCTTAACTTATAGTTCAAAGTTCAAAACTTAAGGACTATCTGTCCTTACTTTGGTTTCAAGTTCAAAAGTTAAGGACAGAAGTCCTTAAATTTGAATTGCAGGTTAAAAAGTTATGGACAGACAGTCCTTAAGTTTGAATTACACGTTCAAAAGTTAAGGACAGACAGTCCTTAAGTTTGAATTACACGTTCAAAAGTTAAGGATAGACAGTCCTTAACTTTAAGTTCAAAGTTCAAAAGTTAAGGATTGTCTGTCCTTAACTTTACAAAAGTTAAGGACATGCAGTCCTTATGTTTGAATTACACGTTCAAAAGTTAAGGACATGCAGTCCTTATGTTTGAATTACACGTTCAAAAGTTCAGGACAAGAAGTCCTTAACTTTGTTTTGAAAGTTCAAAAGTTAAGGACATGCAGTCCTAAACTTATAGTTCAAAGTTCAAAACTTAAGGACTGTATGTCCTTAACTTTAGGTTTCAAGTTCAAAAGTTAAGGACATGGAGTCTTTAACTTATAGTTCAAAGTTCAAAACTTAAGGACTGTTTGTCCTTAACTTTGAGTTTCAAGTTCAAAAGTTAAGGATAGGAGTCCTTAAGTTTGACTTGCAGGTTAAAAAGTTATGGACAGACAGTCATTAAGTTTGAATTACATGTTCAAAAGTTAAGGACAGACAGTCCTTAACTTTGAGTTCAAAGTTCAAAGGTTAAGGACTGTCTTTCCTTAACTTTACAAAAGTTAAGGATAGGCAGTCCTTAAGTTTGAATTACACGTTCAAAAGTTCAGGACATGCAGTCCTTAACTTTGTGTTGAAAGTTCAAAAGTTAAGGACAGACAGTCCTTAACTTATAGTTCAAAGTTCAAAACTTAAGGACTGTCTGTCCTTAACTTTGAGTTTCAACTTCAAAAGTTAAGGACATGAGTCCTTAAGTTTAACTTGCAGGTTAAAAAGTTATGGATAGACAGTCCTTAAGTTTTAATTACACGTTCAAAAGTTAAGGACACGAGTCCTTAAGTTTGACATGCAGGTTCAAAAGTTAAGGACAAACAGTCCTTAAGTTTGAATTACACGTTCAGAAGTTCAGGACAACCAGTCCTTAACTTTGCGTTCAAAGTTCAAAAGTTAAGGGCAATTGGTCCTTAACTTTGAATTTGAAGTTCAATTACACTTAGTCATGAACTAATACTAACAAACTCAATGGACAAATCAACACTTGAGAGAAACAAAGAAATTAATAACATGATGCCTTGATATTACTTCTGAAATTGTAATTTTGCATAGCCGTGACAAAATATTATGCTATGCAAACAAAATATAATGCCTTTTGAGGAATTTACAGAATATTTCAAAAGTTTTCTGAACTTGCCAAATTCATATGGATTCTTTACAACAATTTTATACAAAAGATCAAACACAACTAACTTTCTTTACAACTAAACTACAACTCCTTTGGACAACAAGTTTCATTTTCATTCTCATAATCATCGCCAACAATTTCTGGTGGTGTATCATAACCAGAATTTCTTTTCCACTCATCATGTGCCCAAAGATTTGTGACAACTTCTTTTCTAAAGTCTTTAATGTCTTCAGGTAGGAATTTCTCCACATCCTTTCCAATCATCAACAATTCCACATATTTGATCAGGAATGGACCACAATCAGTCCTAAGAAAAATGTAAGATATGCAGTGAATTAAACAATAAATCTAAAGTACATATAAATAATATAACAAATAACAACACGTACGATCCAGTCTGGTATGGTGATCTTTGCCGCTGAATATCAAATTTGTTGAAGGCATTTCCAAAAGACTTGTGATGTTTGTCAAACTGTGAGAACTTTAGCAAGTGGGAGATCATGCGTGCATACATTTCCATGTGATTCATTCCTGCCTCATATGACTCACTATATATGGAATCGTATACATCAATCTTTTTCTGATTCAAGTCCAATACCGCCAAAAGAAAGTGTGTCACAACATTATCATCTTCTGAAGGGAGCCGACATGGAAAAAAGATTTTGTCAACCTCTGTCCAAGCAATTCCACATCTATGATGGTCCCCCCACACATATGGTGTCACAAACAACTGATTATCACCATCACACCAAAAGTCATCAGTAGCATCTTCACTGAAATCTTTATGCACAAGCACCATATAGTTATCAAAAAGAATATCAGTAGTTGTGCAATGAAAAGGATGGTCGCGAGGGTGGTAGCATTCCTTCTTTCTCAGATAATATAGGGCAATATCAATATGCTTCATAAAAAGGCAAAAAATAAAACAAATCCATCAGTCATAAAATAATTAAAAATGATAAATTAAGAATAAAGAAAATAAATGCCTTGCGAATTATCTAACCTTATCATCAAGTACAAAGCTGTTATCTAAAAGCTCAAGGAAGAATATTTTGCTACTGATTTTTGATGATACAATTTGTATGAATTCTTTTTCACACCATTATCATCAACATATATATCAGTTTGTCCCCTGAAAATTTTGAAAATATCAAAGTTAGAAGTTAGTCCTGAACTTAGCCTTTCAAGTTGAAATATTAAGGACAGACAGTCCTTAAATTTGAATTACAGGTTCAAAAGCTAAGGACACTTGGTCCTGAAGTTTGAGTTTCAAGTTCAAAAGTTAAGAATACATGGTCCTGAACTTAGACTTACAAGTTTAAAAGTTCAGGACAATTTGTCCTTAATTTTGAGTATCAAGTTCAAAACTTAAGGACTCTTGTCCTTAACTTTGAGTTCAAAAGTTCAAAACTTAAGGACTGATTGTCCTTAACTTTGAGTATCAAGTTCAAAAGTTAAGGACATGAGTCCATAAGTTTGACTTGCAGGTTCAAAAGTTAAGGACATGAGTCCATAAGTTTGACTTGCAGGTTCAAAAGTTAAGGACAAGCAGTCCTTAACTTTGAATTACAGGTTCGAAAGTTAAGGACACATGGTCCTGAACTTTGACTTACAAGTTCAAAAGATAAGGACACTTGCTCCTTAACTTTGATTTTCAGATTCAAAAGTTAAGAACACGTGGTCCTAAACTTAGACTTACAATGACAGAAGTTAAGGACACTAACTTTAGCAATTTCAATATCAATACTGAAATATATTAAGGGACTTACTCTTTTTTGCGACCTCTCCTTTTCTCCTTGCGCAACCACACAATGAATTTCTTCAATAATTTTGCATCATCTGTGGAATAATGAAAAATACACCTACGAGCATATGTTGATTTTATCCAGCCTGAACTCTTGGGAATATTTTGATTGTCTGCCATCGATGTTCCTATTTTTCTTTCCTGGTCAAAAGGAGATTTCAACTGCTAACTAAGCTTCTTGTTCCTTTTACCTCGACCAAGCTCTTCTTCAACATTTCCTTCAATATCCATAGACAAACCCCCATCAATGCTCATTCGTGTACTTGTAGGAGCAGGAGGAAAATAGAAAATGACGGACCATCATAACCAATACTATCTCTCTTTCTTTTCCTCGTATATTGGTTAAGATCTTCATCATTGTTTTTCCACTGCATGCAACACTATATATATATATATATTAGTTTGTTGCAAGTCGTCAAATGAAAAGACAAAATTTCAATTATGAATATAATATCTAGGACACAATCAATACCTGTCTTATTCACACTGCCTTCTTGTGTTTTTTCAACAGACAATTCAGCTAACATATTGCTTGCATCATTTTCTTTATCTTCCAACTGTACATTTTCTTTATATTGCAATTGTTCTCCATGTTCTTCAGTTGCAAGTTCACAAGATTCTGCAAAATATTTACAAGAGCTAACACAATTAGTACTTGTTATTAATCTTTGATTAAAACAAACATGTAAAAAATTAAAAAAAAAAACACTGTCTAACCGTTTGCAATAGTCAAGATCGTCCCAATTAATCATTATCTTCACTAGCATTTTCTTGGGTTCCAATATTGTCGGTAAGAGAGGGAGGTGTAGAGAGATCACATGTTCCATCTATGCATTTGGAAACAATCTCACTTCTGCTTGTTCATTCAGTATTTTCTACGTCTTGAGATTATATTCCACTTTTCTCTTGAT